TGTAAGAACCTCCAATAAAATGATTTAAGAAAAAAATAGCAAAACAAAAGAAAATGTTGGGGGGATTTTCCACCCTAATTAACTCCCACTATGTAATTTGAATACCACAGATAACACTATTGCTCTTATATACTGCATCTGTGCTTTGTATGTCCAGTCTCTACCTCTTTGGGGGTGGTACCTCCATTTAGAATGCGAAGATTAATACACACTAGTAAATCATTAAACATTTTAGAGCCCTTGAAATTGTCTTGTACATTAGTGTTTGCTGTATTTTACTTATAATTATATAAAACAGTAATATGAACTATTTGGTCATTAATTTTTAAAATCGATTTTCGACTTTTAGTATAGGATGAACACAAATACTATCTCTTAACCTCAAGAGTCTCTGGGTTGTCCAAGAGTTAAGTACTTGACAATAGTCATGTTTCATTTTATTGCCACTTATGGATAATTGTGTTCTTATTTATTCATTTCATTTATTTTATTAGTTGAAGGTCTGTGACAACCCTAAATTGAGCAAGTCTACTAGCACCATTATTTTCCCTAATAGCTACTGTCATGTTTTTGTAATTCACACATTTAAAAATTTTTCTTTATGCTGTTGCACATTTAATAGCAGGAGTATAGTATAAATGTAACTTTTATATGTGCTGGGAACCAAAACAGTGTATGGCTTCCTTTATTGTGATAATTGTTATAGCAGTCTCAAATTAAACCAGAAATATATTGGCCATCACAAACAGCCCCGATGGTACCGGGCATTTTGTGCTGGGCTGCGAACTGCAGGGTCAATAGTCTGAACCCGCTCGCTGCTCCATAGTTAAAAAGGCAGCTTTTTGTACCCACAAAGACTGACCGCCTTGGAAACCCACAGGAGCTGTTCTTTCAGCTCTGACTATACGGTTGCTATGCGTCGGGGTCAACTCAATGGCAGTGAGTTTGGTTTGGGGTTTCGCCTTCATATTTAGAAATCTAGTTTCAGTTTTCTCAATTCATAGCTATTTCCCTGACTCAAATAATAGACCAGACTGCTCGTCTGTTAGTTGAACAGAGAAGCTGAGAAAGCTCCAGTTGTGCGAAACAGTGCACCCTATCAGACAGGAGAGGCAGTCAAGACAAGGCCTGCTGTCTTCAATGCCCTGTCCTGGCTCAAGCCAGTTTCCTTTCCTCGTGTGGACCTCCATCAAAAAGAAAGCAGCTCACTGCCGCTTTTGTCTACATGTCATTTGCCTTAGCTTTCCCTTCACCCCCCTGGAAACATACGTATGAAGCTAAAATAAAGTCTGTGCAGGTGAAGGAAGGGACCTCACCCAAGCAAGGGAGCCTGGGATTAGAGTAAATGAATGAACAGATATATTCCATTGATTTTATTTCTATAACTTTTAAATCATGCTTCACAAATTATATTTTGTCACAATTGGACTTGGGCAGCAAAAAAATCAAGATCACTGTCAGAAACACTGGAAAAAAGGAAAAAATGACTTAGAAAAGATTATTCAATAAAAACCATCAGATAAATCCCTAGATGAAGCAAAATAACTGAATCATTAAGTTTAATTCTAGTTAAGGATTTTATTACAATTAGCTGGTAATAAGTGTCTTGTTTAAGACTTACTTAAGTCTCTAAACATAATAGATCCTTCACTGAGGGGTAATTTAACAAATAAAACAGCACTTTCTGAGAACCTTAGCTGTTGGCACAAGCCATA